TCCATCCATCCATCCATCCATCCATCCATCCATCCATCCATCCATCCTCCTCTTGTTCTGTTCAGGTCTTGGGGGCAGCATCTTGAGCAGGGAGGTCCAGACATCTCTCTCCACAGCCTCTTCTTCCAGCTCTTCTGGGAGGCTAAGTTCTGGTGTTCCCAAACCAACCAAGAGACATGGTCTCTCCAGCGTGTCCTGGGTCTTCCCTGGGGTCTCCACCCAGCAGGACATGGGCCCAGGGAGCACCCTTACCAGATGAACCACCTGAACTGGGATCATCACGTGATATTGTAAAATGTCGAGTGCTCAGAGTATGTGTTGAAGATGACTCTCAGCTACTAGCACACGTTTTGAGCTCAATTGCTGTAAAATCTAACGAGCTTAAAGCCATTTTCAAGGTGGCTAAGGATGATTGGCTGTGGGGGCCATCTTGAATTAAATTCACTTTAAATGTTCATGAGATTGAGATGTATTGATCACTTTCTGAGAATGTTGCTGAATTCTGTCCAGCTGTTAATGAGACGTGCCAACACTACAGACGAACACAGGTTCATGCAACAAACCTTTCTGCTGCTTTACCAACACACTGTGCTCCACAAAATGACACATGAAACTTGGATACATGAGGGTAGGGCTGGACAATAATTCGATATCTATATATATCACGATATACATTTAGTCAATACCAGTGACATGAGTTTTAAGCACATTTTCAATATTTCGATTACAGCGTTTCACTGACGCATTTCTTTTTCTGTTCGGGTTGAAGGAGCTGCTTCAGTTTCAACCTGAACAGAAAAAGCTGCGACACAACTACGTCAGTGTGTGGTGACGTAGATGTTACGCAGAGCTCGAGTCCAGAAGGAGTTAGCAGTAACAGGCTAGGCTAGGCTAATCTACAACGCGCAGTATATTTTCATTTCAAAATGAGTTCCCATGACCGTCAGAATGTGACGGAACAAGCTTTCACAAGCAAAGAGAAAACAGACGACATCACTGATAAGAGGAAACACTAATTTGGTGGTGTGGAAGTGGTTCGGCGGCAGCACAGTGGTGCAACTGGTAGAGCTGCTGCCTCTCAGCGAGCAGGTCCCTGGTTCAAATTCCAGTCCGGAGGCCTTTCTGGGTGGAGTTTGTATGTTCTCTCCGTGCATGCATGGGTTTTCTTTAGTTTCCTCCCACAGCCCAAAAACATGCATGTTAGGCTGATTGGTAACTCTAAATTGTCCCGAGGTGAGAGAGAGTGAATGGTTGTTTGTCTCGTTTGTCTCTATGTGTCCCTGTGATGGACTGGAGACCTGTCCAGGGTGTCCCCCGCCCCTCGCACAGTGATTGCTGGACATGGGCACCGGCGACCCCCGTGACCCAAAATGGAAGAAGCGGGTAAAGATAATGGATGGATGGATGTGGTTCGGCTTTCTAAGATCCGATAAACTGCAGGTTTGTGCTACAAAATATGACAGAGTCGTTCCAACAAGCGCTGGGAACATCGAACTTGTTCCACTCGATAAAATTTTGATGAGTCACAAGATGAAGCACAATAAAAGTTTGAGTCAACGTGTCCCTGAAACACCCCCAGCTGTGTCCAAAGAGAAACCCGTGCAGCAAACAGGTTATGTTGTTGTTTAAAGCTAAAACTATTAATATGGACAAAGTTGAGAGTTTTATGTTTATTTGATGGTGACGTCAAATTGCTTTGAAGGCTTAACACAAATAAAAGGTGAACATTAATTTAATTTATTTTGTAAAGTTTTTCTAACGTTTTTATATTGTTTAAATCAATATTGAAATAATATCGTCATCGAGCGAAATTAAGAAATATATTGTGATAAAAGTTTTGGCCATATCATCCAGCCCTACATGACAGCAACCGGACTTCTCTGTGACATGATGTGTCCCTGTCTGTCTTCTTTGTGTTTGTCTCTTTTCCTTTTCTGCTCCTGTTCTACTTGACTCTGTGTTTTCTGTCAGTTCTCACTCACTCCTCAGTCTAATCAGCCACACCTGTTTCTAATCTGTGTTATCAGTCACACCTGTTTCTAATCTGTGTTATCACTCTCACCTGTTTCTAATCTGTGTTATCAGTCACACCTGTTTCTAATCTGTGTTATCAGCCACACCTGTTTCTAATCTGTGTTATCAGCCACACCTGTTTCTAATCTGTGTTATCAGCCTCACCTGTTTCTAATCTGTGTTATCAGCCACACCTGTTTCTAATCTGT